TGTGGCCTCACCAGAGCTGAGCAGAGGGGCAGGATCCCCTCCCTCCACCTGCTGGCAACGCTCCTCCTGCTGCAGCCAGGATCCCATTGGCCTTCTTGGCCAGGAGGGCACATTGCTGCCTCATGGTTAACTTGGTGTCAACCGGGACTCCCAAATCCCTCTCTGCGGAGCTGCTTTCCAGCAGGTCAACCCCTAATCTGTCCTGGTGCCTGGGGTTATTTCTCCCCAGGTGCAGGATCCTGCCCTTGTCCTTGTTGAAGCTCATGAGGTTCCTCTCTGCCCAACTCTCCAGCTGTGATTATGCATTAGCCTTCCTTACTGGGCTTTGGGATAACAAAATGATTTTCATTCCTCCTTCCCTTCCTCCCTCCTTCCTGCCACCTGCACCCCACCACCTGCACCACATCGAACGATCTCTTTCCACAATCGCTGTCGTCTCAGGACTTTCAGTACTATTGATTCGGGAACCCCACCACCTTTTGAAGGTAATCTCACTGGATAATTTAATTATTTCAATCGAACTGCTTTTGCCTCCTTCTCACACTCAGATGTTTAAGTAATGAACGTTATTAGAAAGATCCTCATTAGATTAAAATACAGGCCTGCTATGCAATAAATGTGCCATGCTAAAAACATCCAACAGATCAGTGATTTACAAGAAAGCAACCCTCCAGCTCCCCTTTAAATCAGCAGGGAAGCAAAAGGCTACAGACAAGAAACTACCAAGTTACCATCCTGCTTCCAAGATGTCCTATAGAAAAATCTGTCCTGTAGAATAAACAACATTTTTCTTTCAGAGCTGCTACCGGCTACCAACTAAGTTAGTGATCATCCTCAAACTTAGCATTTATGCCTCTTCCCTTGACATGTTATGTGTGCAGCATACATAATAATATAATGCTTGTGAATCTGTGCACTGAGAGCTAGACAAACCCATTTTATATATGCACACTACAAGTATTACATTTTTTAAAAGTTGCATTAATATAGAGGTTAATATACAGAAAAAATACTGATATTTTATCCCAAACAGTAATTTGAAGTTTCTGGTTGAAATTTACAACAAACAACAAAATATATGCCAGTACGTTAGAGTTGAATAAAATGTCTCTATTTTACTGCTTATTCCCATTTTGCTCGGAAGTGACACAATGACATCAGTGGGAAAACAGTATAGCACCTCAGAAGAGAGGTGACTTCAGAAGAACAACGTTTGCAAATAATAGAGGGATGAAAAGGAAAAAGGGAGGTCTTGGCTTCAGTAGTCATGTCTTTAGGCCTCATCATTTGTTTTCCATATAAATGTTTTCCTTGCTTAACTATACAGTGCAACATCTACTAATTATGTACTTACTGCAGGGGAAGCAACCCATATTTCCACATCCTTAGCATGATGCTCTCTGTCAGCATTTTCATTTGCTGGGTGTGTGTCACTGGCATCATCCACTGCAAAATATTGCTAAATTAACTCACAGATTTCTTCACTGCTTCTTGGTGGATATTTTAGACATTAAAAAGTGCAGAACCATTTATTGCAGGTATCTGTGGATCACAGCATGATTAACAATTAAGTGTACCAGAAAAAGGGTTCTAGCTGCAAGAAGACAAGAGCAAGCACAACCTCAAAACTATTGTTTGCCACTGAGAAAATACTTATTTCGTTCAACATGTAAACATGTAATGTTTAATTCATGCAGCACAAAAACTGCAGTGGAAAACCTCTTTCCATGAGCCTGACTTCGAGATCATCAATAAGATTCTCACATGAATGAATACCTTTGCAAGCAAATAGTTTTTGAGCCCAAATATTTGCACAGTTCCCATTAAAGCTGTTACTTTTCAAATTATGTATGTATTTCTGTCACTACGTGAATAGACAGCTTAATTAGATACTTTTCCTGTTTTGATCTCCATGAAAAAAAAAATAAAAATTGTCCTTTGGTATTGTACAGGTAAGTTCCTCACCAACAGCTGGCACAATTGGCGGGTCATGCAAGGCTGTAGATATGGAAGGCTTATTGAAATCCCAGCTACAAGAACAGTTGGGCTGCTGTATTTAAAACATGCAATTTGAAATATTTTTAAATACTGGTGAACAATCATGGCACTCTTTTTCCAGAGACACATTTACTTGGAATGCATTTGCCTGCTCTGCGCCACACCAAGGTGCCTCTGGAAACGCTCCCTCGGGGCATCAAGGTCCTTCTGCAGAAAGCTCCCACTTCCAGTTCCTCCAGCCCACCCCTGAGTTTCCAGGATGATTCACAGGTGATAACACGTTCCCTCACTTCCCCGTTGGCCACCACTTCACTCTCGGGGCGGCCTGACTCAGAGCTGTTCCCTGTCCTTGCGCACCCCCTGCTCCCGGCCGCTTTGTGCTGCCAGAGGTGGTGAGAAGCCTCCCCGCTGCCCGGGTTAGGCAGGACGGCCCTGCTGGGGAGGCCCTGCACTTTGGGGCAAGGAGGGGAGCAAGGCCAGGCACTCTGGTGCCAGCGCTGCTCCCAGAGGCACACGGAG